CGATCCCGGGTTTCGGCATTTTGATTGGTTTGATTGAAAACAGTGAACTTAACCGGACTTACTTACGACACTATTTTTATTTATAGTTTCATAAACATTTAACGTTAAACATCCTGTCAATGGCCTTAAATTGACCCTTTCCAGATTCCGTCCCAGTCCGCTATTTGCTGCAGTCTCTGTCAGAGCCAAGGATAACTTTCTGCTTTACACACTTATATATTATGTGTTATATGTGTTGTGTGCTGGACTCGTCTGTGTCGGAAAGACAACCACATTTTAAGCTTTTTTAAAAGATAAACGTGACATGTTTAAAAAAAAAAAGAAGAAGTAATAGTGGATCAATTAGACAGTGGCCTCTATGAACTCATTATTATGTTATATCAAACGAAGAACCATGAAAACATAAATAACTGCGTTATGTGCATTTGTATTTATAAATCCAAATTATGTATTATTAGCATCCAAATTAAATTAATTAACTGTTTACTAACCATCAGTTCAATCCATTTTCTCCCTCACTCTCAACTGATTCTCATAATGCTGAGCTCAGTGTTTCTATAAGGCAGTCTGTCCTCTGTATTAACCTTATGACACTCGTTCATTATGTTCATTCATCGGTAATTCACTCTGGGAAGTGTAGGAGCTATTTATTTGTTGTTTATCTAAAGTTGGATTTGTCTACATGTTTGCTTCATTATATAGATTTTGACAGTATTTTGTGTTTCTAGTTATTGTTTTAGCTAAATTATTATTATTATTATTATTATTATTTTGTTTAGTATATTTAGTTTAACATTATAAGTATTTAGTTTTATTTGTGTATCAGGTAACACTGGCCCCCGAGGTTATATGTAGGGTGAGTTTGATTAGATTTTTAGTAGTTCAACAACGTGAAGTTGACATTTGACTTGTTGGTTCCCTCTTTTTGTACATTTTATAATTGATATAATCAATATGTTCATAACTTAACCCTTAAATTCAGGTGTTGACATAGTTATTATGCGGTAGCGTCAAAGATCAGCTTTGATTTATCAGTAGGGTGGGGGGTTATAGGCGGATGCCAATGTCTGACCCAGAGGGAAGAATTTCACCCCAGCTCCACCCCACATTCCTCCTGGCCTTTTGGGGCAATCAAAAAGACTGTGTGTGTGTGGTTCTCTATAGTGTCAGACCACCCAGAGCAATGATGCTTATCTGTCCTGTCAGGTTGTTTAACAGGACTCATATGTTGCCTCAGAATGAGAGAAGCTCAGGCAGCATGACTCTCTGGATGCTGGGTTCAGACTATATTGGCCTTGTAACAGCTGAGTATTTGTAATTAGGATTATGAAACACTGTTGTGTAACATGAAGTTAAAGAAGAAGAAAAATAAAAATGTTTAGTTCATAATTTAATTGTAAAAATGTATAATTTAGCCCATTTATGTTTAAATATCTGGACCCAGAAGCTGTTTTTTTTTTTTTTTTTAAAGAAAATTGGGCAAATTAATTATTTAAATGTTTATACCTCAGAGCTGCCAAGAGTGAAATGTCTTTGTGATTAAGGTAATTCATCAAACCCTTCATCAGTGATCATCCAGATAATCACTTTGTCTGCAGGCTGATTCAATCCTCTGGAGCCAGTTGGCACAAACAGACGTCATGACGCCGCGACTACGTCACTGCCAGGGGAACGTAGAGCACCAAAGATCGTTTGTGTAGAGAGAAGTATCAGCCGACCCGAAGTGGTTGTTTCCATGACTACACTATCTTAAAATAACACATTGAGAAACTTTAGCAGAGATACGCTCTCGTCTGTTTTAATGTGTTATTGAATAAACAAACTGATACAGCAATGGGGCAGAGTTTCTTATCCTCTTTATGGTCTGTGACATTTTTTATAAACACTGTTTACATTCAGTAACCAGTGAAACAGAAACCCCAGTACTGCACCAGTGAGGTGTTCAATAGGATCAGTGAACTATGGTGAATAGATCAGTAACTTAATTTACACTTTTCCACTCATCAAAGCTCCTGTTTCTTAAAATTAATTAATTAATATGATATTATTCTTACATAATATTGTTATATTATTGTCTACCCACCACCTTTCTACAAGGAAAACACTTTAAACATCGTAACTTCTACTAAGAAATATGTCTAATAACAACTCATACCTGACTTTATCTTACAGAAATTTATCCATTAAGAACTTTTCACGTGTTACAAACCAAATATTTAAAATTCCACTTTACTCCCATGGAAAAAGAAATTAAAAATCTTCAAGTGAATTTTTTTTCTTTCAATTTAGTATTGTAGGAATATGGTTTACAAAAAGCTCTTTAATTTAATGTATTTATTTACTTTTCACTAGGGGTCAACAAAGCTTCATGGGGGCTCGAGAGGCCTTCTTGGTTTTAAGGGGTGTGAGAAAACAAAAAATAATATACCCAGTAGGCCTCTAGCTCAGTGTTTGGTTTACTTCTGTGAAGAAATGTAAACTAAAGTAAATTGTTAAGTAACTTGTCTTGTAGAATAAAAAAACACTTACTCCTTATTAGGAAATATGATTATTAAACAACAACAACAAGCGACAGAGGATTGTATGAAAAGTTCCCTAAATGGGTTCATTGTACAGTTCTGAACATAAACATAAAATATCCATAAGATATGTCACTTAGTCAAAAGGCTGGTAACCTCTGGTGTAGTGTGATAATAACTGTGTTTATAGATCCTGGAGAAGGAGGCGGAGTGATCCCTCTGTGCGTCCTCCGGCTCTCTGTTGTGTAACAGACGGACTGCGGAGCGGTGAGTCGGTCCCCGCCCTGGTTTCTTTAAATACCCTCCACCACGGTGCACCGTTACACAGACACACCCGGGGATGTGCTGACATTATTATACTCTGCCTACAACGTGGACACAGTTGAGTCTGACCTCTAACATGGAGCTGGACCGGCGGCTGCTGCTCGCTCACTGTGCGGCTCACGTCCTGTCGGTGGTGGCGGGCTTGTTGGTGGTCGTCCCCATGGCTCTCAATGGCTCCGCGTTCAAAGGCCGCTGCGCACTCTTCTCCACCGGCTACTGGAGGACCGAGGACCGGGCCGAGCTGACGGGGCAGCCGGGAGACGTCCCCCACCTGGTGGTGCAGCAGTGGGGCCCACCGGCAGCCTGCCAGTTCACCACATTTGTGGGTATTTTCACGGTCCTGTACGGCGCAGCGCAGGGCTGGAGGTATCTCTTCTATCTGCACGGACGACATGATGAGTGAGTGACTGACATTATAACACTGACCTAGTTCTGCATATATACCACACACACATACACACATACACATACATATAAATATAATATATATATATGTACTGAAACAGTGGAATAACACTTATATACAGTGGTGGAATGTAACTAAGTACTTTTTACTCCACTACATTAATTTTAAAGCTTCAGATTTAGATTATTAATTCAAAATATCCATCAACTAACACATTATAGTATATATTATTGTAGGTTAAGCTACCCAGCACCTTTACCAGCTGCAGCATTATAGTGGTGTACATATTAATGCATCAACAATTATAATCCAGTAATATAATGTGTATTATTCTGCATGATGAGAACTTTCACTTGTGGTACTTTAAGTATATTTTGCTGCTAATTATTGTGTACAGTAAGATTTTGAATGCAGGACCTTTACTTGTATTTTTACACTCATATTTCTGTGTGTACTGAAGTAAAATATCTGAGTTGTAGTTGCTGCAGCATTAGTTGTGTAACGGTAGTTGGAGAGGTAAATAGTACTATTTTATATATCTTTTAGAAAGTGGAAATAAAACTACTGCACTGTAATAAAAGCACTCAACAGTAAGTACATAGCTACAACCACCACATGTTTTGTTTCTAAAAAATCTATATACACGTAGAAGTACATTATTAATATGTCTATAGATATACTTAAAGTAAACTAAAACAGAAGGTAGACATACAAACACCTTCCTGACATTAAGAATGAGCTGAAAATATGAATTATAGCCTTTTCTACATCACAGCTTTTGTGGGTATTAGAGCTCAATAGAGTGAAATTAAACTATAAAGTGATAAAGTGCAGATTAACATTTCCCAGAGCTCAATGTGCTGACCAACAGTCTAAAACTAATAACATATTCAGTTAACTATATGACAGTCAACACATACCACATACATACACATAGCTTTTAGTCTGTTCCTGTATCTGACGGCTGGCTGTGTTTTCTGCTCAGCACCCTGTTTTCATCCTTCCTGACGGTGCTGCTGAGTGTGTGCGTGCTCTTCCTGTCTGGAGGGGCCAGTGTCATCCTGTCTCTGGGGCTGGTCTCCTGGTGCGACACCGTGACTGACGACAACACACGGCCGTACAGGTACACTGTTTGACAATGAACTCTTATGGCCGGACCTCCTGGGTGTGGATGTTTGTTGTAGGAGTTATATGTTACATTTGTAATGGTTATTTTAGCTGTTATTGATGTGATTCCTGTTACTGTAATTATGATGTTTGGTGCAGTTGTTTAAACAAACAATCCACAACTTTGCACACTGATCCACCTGTAATTATTAAATAAATCATACTGAGTGAATCATCTGTGATGGTTTATGTCATTTTAAAACACACGTTGATATTTTTATATTCTGATATAGTAAAGAAACTGTTTGTTTTGGGATAATCCAGCAAATTAAATAGCTCATATATTATCCACAATGACATAATACAACCACAGATAGTAAAAGGATGGGTGTCATGATATGAACAGTATGGAAACATTACTGATGATCGACACATTTGGCCCAACTTTGTGATACATCTTCACATCTTTTGATCCAGTGTTGATGTTGGACTGATAAAAGTGTTGTTGTGGATCCTTCCTCACCCCTTCATGTTTGTTTTTTTGTGTTCAGCTGTGCAGAGTCCCAGTCTGTTCCTCTTTACCTGGATGTGGACACCTCCTCTTTCTACACAGAGCTCGGACTGGCACAGGTAGGAGCACTCAGACGTTGCTACGGGCAGCAGTTTTCTGAAACCAGCTGCTCAATATTTATATATAAAAAAACACACAGCTAGCAGGTTTATTCTTACAACATGAGGGTTTGGAGCCTTTTTGAGATTATTTAGCTAGTTTTGTGTTTGATGGCATTTTTATTACAATTTTAAATTGATTGTCTGTATAGAAAGAATCTAATCTATTTATAAATTCTGAATCCTTTTAAATCCCTAATTGAATCTAGTTAGGTTTACCATTCGACATTTGCAAGTAAATAAAGGTTAAAATAACTACAAGCCAACAAAGTCTTATGGCCTTTTGTTGGCTGACGAGGCTGCCAGAAACTCAGCACACACATCGTTTTTAAATGATAAAAATTCTGGTAGCTTGCAGTACTGAATAGAACAATGTATTCTATAACAATTAAACATAGTTATCATGCTGTAAACCTGATGTTACTTTTTACCAGACAGATATGGCTCTATTGGATTTCAATCTGTTAACCTGGGAGAGATCTTGAGACAACATAATCTTGAGGGGTGAAGAGTCGGCATCAAACCTTGATGGCTACTGTTAAAACTAGGAGCACACAAGATCCCACTGGTAGACATTACGTCACGGCAATGTACTTTCACTCCCACAAACCTGCTTCAGACTGGAACAGCACGTCGCTGGTAGAGACGGCCGAATGACCCAAGAGAACCAGATCAGCGACCTTTTTCAATTGTTCCAGCCTCTATTGAATTCGCAGTACAGTCATTACCACGCAGCTGAACTCCTGTGCTTCAGCCTGTGCTTATCGGCTCCAGCTGACCTCCCCTTGGCTCGCTTGCACAGCTGTGGTCAGTCTTAACTATAATGTGTCGTGTGTGATGTGGTATGCGACCTCGGCGGGGCGGGTGGGCGGGGGGGTGGGGGGGTGGCGCGGGGGGGTGCATCTTTAACAGCTACACGTTTCCTTCCCAATCGCATCATTTATACTTCAACAGGCTGACCCTCGCGCGGGCCCGCCTGCTCGTGTCAGCTCCTGTCTTATCTGAACTCATACGGAGTCTATACCGGCTCGCCGCGCCGAGCCGCGCAATATAATTTAACAAGGATATAAAACGCCGGCCTACCGTTCCCCCGGGCACGGCCTGCATCACGCTGTTCTGCAACCCCTGCGCGTGCCGCAAAAATGATGAGGCTAGAGGCTACTAGCAGCTGCCTGTTTTTCTGACAGGCTCCCGTCGTGCCGGCCCGTCACATAGCCGGCGCGTCGTCACCGCACGAAGCGCTAAGAGCGACAGACAGGTGGGTCAAATGCGATTAGCGATCAGCGCAGAACAAGCACCCGCTAGCTGTCCGTTGATTGTGTTTGAATTCAGGCCGCTCGTTTGCTCCCTTTGTCATGTCGAGATGTTTCATTTGAGTCCATTCTGCGACTCACTGCACACACCCTGCGACTGCATGAAGAGCACGCGAGAACGAAAGTGCACCATCGCACTGAAGTGCAGACACCGAGATCATGACCTTCGCTGTCTATCTGCCCGTGCCGTTCCAAGCACCGACGCTGCCGTCCAGACTGCTGTCTCTCACGGCACTGGCACAAACCATGGGGCTTATAGAGGACAAAGCCGTGCCACCACGGTATTCGTGTAGCTGAGAAGAGTGCTTCTGCGCTTTGCTTCTTGCTGAGGCTAAACTTTCTGTTCTGGTGGCGCTTGATGAGACGTTCTCCGGCCCTAGCGTGCGCGCCTCGCGCGACAGATTCAGCTCGTACAATTATTGGCTATCCTTACGTGCCGCGTCTTTCCCTGTTTCTTCCCGCCTGTGAACGCCACTTCTTGTCTCGGGTCTTGCACCACACGAAACTTCGGCCACCGTCCCTCTTCCCTCTTCAATCCGCCGCTGCGAGCAGGCTGCTGGCTCCGACGCCACCTCCTACCACACACACACACCACCCACCACCGTCCACATACCCAAACAGCACCTTTTGCGTCTAATGTGCACATTGGTTGTCCGTCGCGTCGCAATCTTTTTCCCGCTAGTAGTGCCATCAAAACGCCCTTAAAGAGTGCTTCCACGACATTGGTATTCCAGGGTGCAGCAGGGGACGAGAGGATATGGTCCTCCTTCGACACAACAATAATACACTTCAAGCAGTGTATCCTGATGCTTCCCCACTCCACAAGTCACATCTACTACCTCTACGCTCTATCCCTACTGACTTATACATTCTCTATGCTGCTCTTTCCAAAGTTCGACAAAGACTGTTCTACCATCTCTGTCGTGCTGAAGTCATTCTCAAGTGTTTAGTGCACTGGGTGAGTGCTCTCAAGTCTAGCACTACTGACCCGAGCTATTTCTGACTGTCACAATCATGCTCATGAGCCCCCGCCCTTAAATCAGATTTGCCAATGAAGCACAGAGAAACTCTTTCACTTGTCAGCTCTAGTACAATGTGAAGGAACATCCCCTTTGTCTATATCCTAACTTCATGCTCATACATCATTATGCACAGTGAAGCTCAAACATCCAACTGTGGGAACAAGAAGAAAAAATGTTTTTTCAGTAGATCAGAGAGTAATCAACCACACCCTGTGTCCTCAGGTGTCTCTGTGGTGTGTGACAGCTCTGTGGCTGGCTCAGTCCATCCTGGCTTTCCTGCGGCTCTACCACTCTCACAGCCAGCACATCAGCGTGCCGTGTCGTCCCCGAGAGAAGGAGCTGCTGCTGGGACACAGCCTATCTGACAGCGGCTCCCCCTCACCTGCTCCAGCAACACCCACCCTGCTGGTCTAACTGAGAGTGTATGAGGGGCTGATATCAGATGGTACACTCACTTCCACGGTCTGAACTTATTTTTAAAACTACGTCTTACTACTGCATGTAGAATATGTAAGTGTGGTTTAGGACAAGCTTTTATATATATATAATTCATTATTTAATCATCTTATACAATAGAGCCTGATTGATAAAGCCAGTAAAGCCAATAAGTAACAAGAAATGTCAGTATATAATTGCCAAAGATATGTTTCAGGTCATGTATAAACAGTGTCTCCATTATATAGTTTGTCCTCCAGAGAGAACTGGTAGTTTTACACTGTTCAATCTGAAATAAGTGACACTTCTTTAAGAACCAAAGAATCTGGTTGTTACTTCTTAATAGTACAAAATATCTGCAGTCATATTAAGATTTTTAAAATCTCAAACATTGTATTGCCAGTATCAGTCAGGCTGTATTATATAATGATATAATTTCTGGGCCAACCACCATAACGCAGCCCCAGTTTGTGCCTCTTCGTCACAGAACTAAGCATCTATTGTTCTGAATGATAAAAACTAGTTTATATTTAAAAACAGACTCTTTAAAAGTTGTGACTCACTCATTCTAAGTTAGATATATTAAGAAATGCTGACGGTGACGGTAAAAAAGGAATACAGGCGTCAACAAACTGTTGGCAAAAAAGCTGCAAACCCTACAACGCTGGCAGTTGTAAACGACATCCAATAATAACACCAGTACAATAGATTCTACTTATTTAAAAGGATCCAAGAAGAAGCTAATTTATCTTAGAATAATGTGTAGGTCTGAAGGTTTTTCTGTTCTTCCTGTTCTGTTGACAGTGAATGCAGCATTACACAAGAAAAATATATATGCAGTATTATATGTGAAACTGAAAAATAATAGTAACAACTCATTATAGATAGATATAACTGATAATAAAGATTTATGGTGTAAAAAATTAAGCACATATGTAATTTTCAGATATATTTTCTGTTAGAAAACTAGTTAAACATTTTTTTAAATCATGCAGCAGACTGAATATTATATTAATTATATTAATATTCGTCTATATGGTTAGAAGAGTCTTGAAGGATTCTCAGAGTTGCTCTAAGTTTGTTGTTAAATGAGTTGTTAAATGGGTTTGTCGAAGGTGTGCAGGAATTTATTTTTTAGAAAAATGGAGCCGTAGTTCTGTGACTCCAATGTAACAATGAGCACTTACTGGGACAAACCTCAACTCAAAAGGGATTTTACAGAAGAAAGCACTCATTTGAATAGTTGAAGCAGATGTATTCAGTGATCTAATAACCACAGCGTTATTTAGAAGCTAGAAGCATCCAGATGGTGTCTATTTTGGATATATTTAATATGCATGTTTGTTTACATTTCAGCTGGAGTCCCACATTTTACATTGTTGTGTCCTCATCAGGGAGAATACATTTGTGTTGACTGCTCTGAGTGTAATATTCAGATGTAGCACTGAGGTGCTTTTATTGTGAAGCATGTGGTGAGAGTGAGACTGAGCCACCATGTACGAGAAAAACAGGCTCACTGTGTGAGCATGACCTGAATGTTCTGTTGTGTAACGGAAAAATCACTGCTGACGTTCTCTCTTCCTGTGACGATTGTTGTTATGATGCTGTTTGTGTGGACATGGCCGCTCCGGGCGTTAATGAAGCGTCAAATCCTCTCAAATGATACTTGTAGAGAATAATTAGAAGGTAAACTACAAGGATCTGTGATATGTGATGTGTTTTCTCACTGAGAGAGATTTGTGTGGAGCTCATTAGGGTCAGTGAAGAGGAGAGAAATGACTAACGTTGTTGAAGTTTTAAAACAGATGATTCAATGTTGTTTCTGAACTTCTCTCCTGTTATCACTGACCCGAGTGGTTGTAATGACACACTGACAGTGGAGCAAGAAATCTGAAGAAAAAAGAGACAATACAGTCAAGTCTAACTTGAAATGTAATATATCAAATGTATTTTGTATTATGACTGACAATGTCTTGCTTTTTACCTTTTACCTGTTTGTGTGCATTTTTTTTTGCATTTGTCTTGTTTGTCAAATAAAAAGTTTCTCATTCTGAAAAAATTATGTCTCAACTTACTATATACTAAAAACTACATGCATATCATAACAAGGGTGGAAATAAATACAGTAAACAGTAAGACTACTCCTCCATATTTAACCCAATAGTATTTACATATTGTCACTTAACTCCTACAGCTAGTCTTCAGGCAGTAAGGATCATTAAGAACTTAACATTAGCCACTGAAGAATCAATACATGCCCACAGACTAAAGGGTGAGACAACTACATACAGTAATTCTGCATTTTGAGTAAAGTAAAATTAGATAACTATGTCATCCCTTGCTATCCTTGGAAAGAAAAGTCAGCTGCTAGAACATTACTGAATGATGAGCGTTACAGAAGTGAGTATACCCGATGAATCAGAATCACTTTCATTGGCCAGGTATGTGCACACATACAAGGAAATTGACTGCGGTTTTATGTTCAAAATGTACACAGACTAAGAATAAATAAACAGGACAACAGGCTCAACAGACATAGACACATACATATATATGTAAACAAACAAAAAACAATAACATTTGTAGACAGTAGATGGTGCAGAGTGCAAAGGATGCTGAAATAAATATTAACGTGCAGGTTTCTTTATCCACATGAGGTATGTGGATATGACACTATATACAATATGGGCAGCATGGGAAGATGTGTTTGAATTATTGTATTTATGTTTGTTTTTTTAAAACTGAATTTCAGCTACGAAAAAATAAATAATAAATAGTTTTCAGATGCAATAGATAATGGTTAAGTTACTGTACTGAAGTGGATAACTGCAAAAAGACTTTCTAATAATAGTTGACTCTGAATCAGCTGCTATAACACTATAATTTCCCTTCGGGGATCTATCTATCTATCTATCTATCTATCGTATCGTATCTTATATCTATTTCTTAGTTTCTATCTATCTTCTCTCTTCATCATCTTCCTTTAAATACAGTGATAATTCAGTTACACGTAGTGTATACCGTTACTAACCGCTGGTAGCAGTAGACTCCTGGTGTCCGTCTGACCGATAACAACAGGAGAAGGGAGCCCTCAGACAGGGCTCATATTGAACCGATTTTATCCAACGTCTTTGAAACAGTTTTTTAACTTTAGGTCTGTTCGTTGTTTTGTTTCTATTACTGAAGAAGCTCCAACAAACAACAACAACAAACACACAAACATAAGAAGAAGACCAACCCAATTATACGCTGGCTAACATGAAGCTAACGACTTAGAAGTTAAAAGTGCCGACGGGTCCAGCTTGAGAAGAGCTCGGTTTAACTTCAGGGGTGGCGAAGGCGGGCTGGTGAGCCGTCTTTGGTTGCTTCAGAGCAGATCAAAACCGGGGATCCTCTACCGACCTTCGATGACACTTTCAGAACAACCTCAGATCCGACACCTTCGAACCGCCCCACCCCACGCCGACAGGAGGCTGGCTACGGCGCTGGTGTATAGAGACGCACCAGGAGATTCAAGACTCGCAACACAGGAAGCAGCGGCTGCAGGGGGACGAAACCTGCGGACTGTTCAGAGTGTGTGGGAGGAGAGGAGGAGCAGAGCAGGGGGATGAGGAAGAGAGCAGGAGGAGCGGCAGGGTGGCAGCGCTCCGAGAGGATGTGAAGCGCCAGGCAGGGGTGTGCAGGAAGAGCTTCTATGAGTTCAAAGAGGGATACGATACAAAAGGTAAAGTAGGATCAATTTGTTTCAACAGGGGTGAGCTGGAAGACATTAAAGGCTTCAGGTTCAGTCAAAGAATGCACTTAGTAAAAAATTGATGACAGAGAAAAAGAATAACCTATGATTAGAACAGATGTATAATATTGAAGGGATTGAAGCACTAAAATAAATAAATATTAACAGTACAATATATTTTCAGGCCTTTCCTATATATAATATCCATGGAATGAACGGTTTGAACGAATATATTGAATAATTGCCTAAACTTTGACGTGGAGATCTCTTTAGAATAGAGAGTGAGATTATAATATAAATGGTTGTAATGTGTTGTAGGGCATGGTCTATTTTCCTCAACCAGAACAGTCTCAACCTCCGCGGACGAGAGAGAAGAGGCGGGGGGGGAGAAGATGAATCAAGTGTAACCATGTACGCTTTACACACTCACCGCGTCTGGTGCAGGACATGTAAAACTGTGTTGTTTGTATTTTTCTTGATAGTTTTTAGTAGAAATAGTCAGAGAGCTTTTGAGATTAAGAGCAGTCATTAAGAGAATCCCTCCTTACTTTACAGATGCAGCCACCTCACTTTGCGTGGCTCGCCTGAACGTCGTGTGGTCAGCCCTCGGTTCTGGTCGATCCCCTCGCTGTGTCCGGCTGAGCGCTACCTATGGCGTGCTTGCAGTGCTTGTGTGCTTTAGTGAGGCTGGAGAGGAGTCGGCAGACAAGCAGTGAGGAGACAAGAGAATGGATCCTTACGCCGGGTGGCTGGTCACTGCAAGCTTCCCCCTGCGCTGCGGTAGATTAGGTGTTCATCTTAGTCATAATTTGGAACAGGAACCTTTTCTGGGACTTATTTATAGATCATTTCTGTCTGTGTAGTCTCGTTACCAGGTGAAGAAGAATTGTCTTTCGCTTCGTGGACGCGAAAAAGTGTTCAGGGGGAAGGAGGAAGTTTTGGAGAACTTTTCACCGAAGGGGGACATCATTGGCTGCTACGCTGTGAGTGCACTCCAGTTTCCCGTTTGCCTTTGAATCTTGTTTTGCTTTGTTCTTTGCAGAAGATCTTGTTTTTGTTTGTGCGACATCTTTCGTTCACAGACGCGCTGTTGAGCTTCTCTTTCCATAAGAACGGTGGGATTGTTCTCTGATGGGGGTGCCTGTTCTCTGTCGCTGTGGCGCAGGCTTTGTCGTCCCTCGCGCCTGTGTAGGTTCTCAGATTTACCTGGACCCACATTCCGTCCTCTGGCCCCGTTTCCCTCGGTTCATCAGGTTCCGTTAGCCGTTCTGCTGGCATGGGTGGCCGCCCATCGGGAGTCCCTCTCCATCCAGTGTGAGGTTGAGAGACAAAGTAGTTCACTGAAGGATTGATGAAGTTAATGGAAGCTGATTGAAGATTATTTCACAAGTTGTTTTATCTTCCTTTGTGATACGAAGAGTTCGTCAAAACACCATTTAAAGAAGCATTTCACCGTGAACATTATCATATTGAAATGGGTAGTAATGTATTGTAGTCGAAATGTACATAATTTTATTTGGTGCGGTTGACGAGAAAGGGAGTGTTGTAGCTCACCCCATCTTTCAAGATTTTGAGATTCGCTTCCAATGATGCAATATACGATTTGTTTTTACATCATTGGAAGCAGGATTGAACACTGAAATCCGTATTTCTCCCGTCTGCAGAATGAGGGAATGGTGCACGACCATTCAAAAATATGACCGGGTTTCTAACGATACAAAGCTTAATGCAAATGGGTGAAGTGTCCCTTTAAGGAATACATGAACATGTAGACTGTGTTGCCTTTGGAAATTCACGAATGTTACTTATGAATGAATCGATTTGAGCTACATGCTAAGCTCACACTGATCTTTAGCAGGTGTAACCTTCACCTTGCCAACATTTGCTAATCAGTACTAAAGTACAGCTGATTCAGAAGAATGTCTTTCGTAGGTATTTGATCATAAACCAGAGTACGGCTGATAGTGAGATTATGAATGTCTCTACAACATTTAGTGGTAATCCATCTCATAGTATTTGAGATATGCATCTTGTGTTTGTGGCTAGAAACAACTTCTTCTGGTTATTTTCAGACAGGATATGAAACACTGGAATCCTTTCTCCCTCCAGGTGTTGTTAATGGTTGGTCTTCCTGGTTCTGGGAAGAGCCACTGGGCCAGGACTCACATGAAGCAGCATCCAGAGAAGCAGTACAGACTGTTGGGCACAGAGGAGCTGCTCGCATGTATGATTGTCAGTCAAACCTTCAGTCATCACTCTCGTGTTTTATATTCACATTCAGAGATTCAATTTATGACTGAACCACTGATCTAAAGTGTGTGTTGTGTGTGTGTGTGTGTGTAGAGTGGTGGACAGAGGGACAGCAGGCTGCAGCAGGCCTCTCAGTGTCTAACTGATTTGATCAAAATGGCTGCTCAGACTCCTGGCAACTATATCCTTGATCAGGTAACTCTTCACTACTAAACATATATATCGATTTAACTCTGAAAACCCTGTTAAATTACTGTCACAGAATTATTTCCAGTCTGGTACTGATATTGTAAGGACTTAATTGTGTTTAAAACCTTCTTCTAAAACGATTACAGCATGTTGGACAAAATGTCAACTTCAGTCTCAGATCAATATCAAAGTCATTTAGTCATAAGACTGTAATTAAATATCCACTGAAACACTGACGCAACAGTACTTGGAAATTGTATTCCACCTCCTCTTACCATATTCTCTCTGTTGTCCAGTGCAACATCCTCTTCTCTGCACGCCGTTACAAGCTGCAGCTGTTTACAGGCTTCAGGCGCAAAGTGGTGGTGGTCTTTCCCTCAGCGGACGAGTGGAAAAGACGACTGTCTCTGCACCAGACGAGTGACGGAGAGCAGATCCCCGAGACCGCCCTGCTTAAACTCCAAGGTCTGACTTACATCTCAGTGATTAATAAGAGTACCTCACTGCCAGTGTAGGGGTTGGCAGTCAATATGAAACACATTTCTATTAGAGGTGGAAACTAATATTTACATTTCTTTCTTTGGGATACACAACTTTATTGTGTACTTAAGTTATTTAATTCAGAGGTTTAACAGTGGTCCTTCAGTGAGTTGTAGGGGGTCCCAGCAAAAGGAGGAATATAATATTTTAACTCACATTTTTTGGAAGTTGGGGAAGGGACAAGGGAAGAAATTGGGGTTTTATTGTAATTAAGTGATTTTGATTTATAGTATTTGACTTCTCTGAAAGAAGAGACATGGGCAACCAGCCACTGGTCTTGAACCAGTTCTTCCAGTATGGAAATACACACTAGACTGAAGCCTCTGCCACTTCTCACAATTATAATCAACCTGGGACAGCAGAGTAATATGAGTGAGTCCCATACAGGTTGACGTGGACATAATTTCTGTCAAGCTTCCGCAACTTAAACTTTGCTCCTCCTCTCCAGTGAGCTGCAGTCTTCCGGAGCAGCAGAGCGACCTGCTGGAGGAGCTGCAGTATGTCGGGCTGCCTCGGGATCAGGCACAGACGCTCCTGCAGGAGTATAAAGAGGAGGCTCGCAGACTTCTGCCCCCCATAGCCAAACAGGACAAAAAGAAACCCAGGTTTTACAAGAAAAGACCACACCCCCACGGCCCTCCACCCTCACATAGGATGCAGTGGACTGGACTTCATGGTCAGTGTGCGAAATGAGGGGCTGTACTGTGGGAGACTTTTATATTATATTTATTATTTTATATATGATATTTTAGGGTGTTTAGTTAATTTCATTGTTGTCATTGTAGGGTGGAACAACGGCAGACTCAACATGCAGCCATGGAGGCAGCAACCAAGATATGTGAGTGCTGTGGAGTCCTGTTCAACATACAGTCAAACCAAACAATAACCTCATTAACCTCATTAGCTCAGCTGCAGTTTGAGGACATTAGGTCAGTTAGTCAGTAACGGAGGCAGGTGGGACGTGAACTGTTCTCTCACCCGAGGACATCAATTACATTACCATTTAATTTCTTCTTCATTATAGATGTAGTTGAGCTGATCTTGAGCGTGCTATTTGTTTGTTTTATATTCATTTCGAACAAATAAAAAAAAAACATAGAAATGAAGCGAACAATAATCCTGTACACAAACCCAATTAATACATCCTCATAAACACAAATGAAATCTGTTTGAAAAGGAGTAGGAGGAAGTATACACATATTTATTCTTACCCCTTCTCCACTACTTATCAATTAAATCATAAACTTGTAAATATATTTATATATACACAAACACTGCACATGTTACTGCAGCTCAGCTAATATAATGCAACAACCTACTCAAGTGTTTTTTCACAGATTAAACTAAATCACATTGTGCTTTTATGCCTTTTACATTTCAGTGGAACATGGCGTATCAGGACCAGAGCTACTACAGAGACTTTGGTTATGAAGGTTACTGATGAAGACACCTGGAGCAAGAAGAGACCGGTGCTGCTGCACTATCTGCGTTTACAAGGACAATAATTCTACTGATGTCACTTAATTTTGTTGCACTCGCTGCTTTGGTCAATCAGAGATAATCAGTGTTGTAATATTTAATCATTTAACAATGGAAACCAGGTTACTTTTTAGGATTTTTATTCAAAATAGATTTTTAAATTCGATCATGTTTTTACTGCACAGTGTACAAATAATATAAAAAAATACAGTATTTTGCACAGTTCTAACACTAGTATTGGTCAGAGAGTGCTTAAAGTCAAACAGTAATAAATCCCTGAACTTTTAGAGGAGTGTTTGTACATTTGATCGCCTGGATCCATCCTCTGATCAGCTGATTGTTGTGTCATCTGCTCTGACTTTGCTCTCCGTCAGGCTTCACTGTCTGATAAAGCAGCACGGCTCCTTTAGCTGAAGGACACAGCTCCGCCCACACAGGGCTGCTTCTGTCCAGCTGCAACACATCCTACAAATTTCAGGGACAACAAAGTCTTAACAATATTGGTGCTTTTAGATTTTAAATCCCACATGTATATACATCTTGGTATCTACTGAACTTTCTGAAGTCAAGAAAGCTCGTTATAGATCTGTAACTATACATTACTCACCGCTCTGCTGAGGAACACAATATCTGTGGACTCGTTGGCCTCCGCTCCTCCTTTCCAGTACAACTTTCTGACTTCATCAGACGTCAAAGAGCAACTGAGGACACAGAGATAACTGACTCTACATAACATCTTTATAAAGCAAACCTAGGACAACTTGCACTCCTTATCTCAGATCACAGCAAATATATCAGCTGTCTGTCCCTAATGGGCCCATTCTTAATATGTTATATATATTATGTCAGATAATCTTTTATTATCGGCAGCTCTTGATGCTGCAGTCTCAGCCAGGTCTCTCTTACATTAAATTCTACACTGTTATGAGGGACAGTGGCACTTTTGTCTCAGAACCAGTGACCTTGAATTTATTTTATATGAAGAGATTTCAGCATGACACAAAAAAAACACCTTATTTCACAGGACAGCTTGAGAGCTACAGTAGATGAGTAATGGGGTTTTTTTCCCATTGTAATATAACATTTTTTCTAACACCATGACTGGTGTTGACTGGCAGAGGTTTGTGTCCATTTTTATATTATAGACCCCCAAATAGACACATACATTTGCTCACAGCCTTCAGTTAATATTTCAAACTAAAGGTAATATTAAGTACCTGACGTAGAACTCAGCACTCGGCCTGCCAGCGCTGGTGTGATTCAGAGCGACGCCCATCAGGATGGGCTCTCCGAGGGAGCTCAGAGGAATATTCACCTGGAGACGGACAGAGGGGAGACGGGATGAAGGAGGAGAGAGATTAAAGGTCACAATGTTAAACACTATTGTTTTCCAAAGAATTTCTAAAGTGAATATCAATATACATTTTAGTCTTTGCTCAACAGCTGGTCGAGTTTAAATGCTGACTGAGCTCGGAACAATGTTCACCTGGACTAACTAAATAAAATGCTTTCTTAATCGAAAGATGTTATAATATAATATTTTACGCAGAAGTTTTAACTGCAGTTAACTGCAAGATCATCTTTAAAACAATTATTTTTCAGTTGGTTCAGTTTTGGTCTTTTGGGCTCAAGTTATATCTTCAGATTTCTTCCTTCATCACTGAAGGACAGAAACAGCCTGACCTTTTTTAACTAGTGCTGAAACAATTCATCGATTAGTTGAATTTAGACAATAAATTAATTGTTTAATTTAGTTACTGACTAAAAAAAACAACTCAAATATTTGCTGGGTCCAGCTTCCCTTTCTATTACGTGTTAGTAAAATTATTATCTTTGGGTTTTGGACTCTCGGTCGGAGGAAAAGAGTGATTTAAAGGTGTAACATTTTGTACGATTTTATAGACTAAATGATTAACCAATTAATCAAAACAGAAATCAATATACTGATTACAAAAGTATAATTAATTGCAGCCATAGTTTCATATTAAGAGTAAAAAAGCAGGACTTGAGTTAACTGATTTACCAACAAATCAAAAAGCACTCAAACAACTTGACGTGAACTAAAGAGTCCACAGCGGTTTGAGAACCCACCTCGTCCCTGATCTCAGTGCACACGGACGAGAACAGCTCTGAGACGACGGGCCTCTGCTGCATCATGTCCACACTGATCTGCTCCTCACGCACCTCCTGGCCCAGACGCTCACACACCACCTGAGGAGGGCGGCGATGGTGTAAGTAACACATCTAGCACATTAGTGACACTTCACCCCACTTGGTTCTTCCTCACCTTTGGCTCTGGGTGACCTCCGGGGATGTCCAGGAGCCCCCCCGCCTCCGCCACCCTCTGGCTCCTCCTGATCAACACCACCTGACCGTCGTCTGTGCACAGGACGCCACCCACGCCCAGAGGCTGAGCCAGCAGCGCCAGGGCATCACCGAACTCCACCTCTCCACGCCGACGGAGCTCTGCCACTTCACACGACCAGTTTGTCCCCAGGTAGTCTTTGTAGCATGTCAGGCCCAGTCTCAGAGTGAGGAGCGGCCCAGTCTCCTGCTCATCTGTGTTTTCTGCCTGATTTCTGCCTCTTTCATCCACACTGTTCTGAGCAGTGTGATGCAGAGAATCACTGGTACACATATTTTCCTCCGTACTTTGCCTCCTCTTTAACTCCCCTTCCTGACCCTCTCCTGCATGGTCCACAACGGGGACGTGGGGTGATTGAGTGCAGGTTGGGTGTTTGAGAGTAACGGCAGGAGAGGCCAAGCAGAAAGAGTGCAGTCTGAATTTGGACCCGTTGAAAAGCCACGGCTCTTTGGACACCCGATGTGTCCACGCCTCCTCTATCTGACGCTCCAGAGTCGGATCTGTCTGCCTGTTAAATCTGGGCAGACGGAGAGGAAGTAAAACAAACTTATACAAGTGTGAGAAAAAAACTTGAAGCCTCCAGTGCACGTAGGAGATATCTTGTGTCCAGCAGGAAAACTTTAGCATATTCATAGTTTCTGTAAATTTTGAATGAGGTAGAAGGAGTAGATAGAAGTAGTTTTTAAGGATTTTACTGTGTAAATTATATTTTATTGCAGAAACAACATATTAGACATATATTAGTATTCAGATTATTGGTGTATATGTCTTCAAACATGTCTGTCTAACCTTAATAATAATAATAATATAATAATAAAGGCTAAAACAGCTCATCACATTAGTAATACTGCATTAATTGGGGATTATCTTTTACTGTGTATTTAAGGTAGCAGAACGGTGTTTGTGGGATTAACTCAACATAAACTGCTTTGCTGATATTCTCTGTAATGAAGAAACATGTCCCCCGCTGCAACTGTGTGGCTCCCTGATGTCTTTTTATATAACAGACATAATAATAATAATAATAATAATAGTTTTTGGTCAAGAATGGAGGTCTGTGGCACAGAAGAATAAGACAGATCAAGCTCTAGATACACAGACAATACTTGTTAGTAGGATCTGTACTTGTTGGTACTGTACATGTACTGTATATAGAGTATATCACCTTAGATCTAGTGTCAGTGGTGATAAAAAGGATTTAACTACTACTTTCTGTCCCAATATCAGTATTACATGTTTGAGCCGCTGTGTTGTTCAGTAGAAAGGTTTTATAATTATTATTATTATTATTATTATTATTATTATTATTATTATTATTATAAGTCTGTGGTTGAGGTCTGATTTATGTTCCTACCTTTCAGAGAGCTCCACTTGCACTTGAGACTCCAGAAGGCCGCTCCAGGCTGCACAGTGAAGCAGCACAGACACCTCAGAGTCCATCATCTCTCACTGAGGGTTGTCATCGAAGTCTTCACTCACACTGTTGCAGCTCTGTAATCCTCACATAAAAACATCAATACCAACTGTTAACACAGAATAGAAACGGCAACTATAAACGCTGTAAAGAGCTGAATCTGAAAACGTCTCAAACACAAACAGACACGCCAAGAGGAAAGCACAAGCTCTTTTGTGGATTCATTCATAACAAGTCGGCCAATAACTTCAAACAAGTCAAACCCCTGAAACACTGCGCTTCATGTTTGTTTATTTCTGCACAGCACCATCAAAGAACAAAAACACAATGACAACCTGTAGTTAAGCATTTTGTTAAACTGTTGAATTTAATCACAGGTGTTGTTCAATAATTATTATTAAATGATTAAATAACTCTTGAAATGTGATAATGGAAAGTGAAAGCAAACGTAAACCACTTTTAATCCACATTTACTCATTCTCACATATTTAACCTTTTTATGTTCACAAAAGGACTTTTAAAGCTCTATAAAGTCGTAGTCGACCCACACAGGTGATTACAGGTGATTTCACGTAATCTACCTGATTAAAGCTCTTCTCAGAACTGTTTGGATGTGTACAAACTATCTCCAATCCCCAAATCCTCAAATCCCAGCTTTGTATGTCACAATGAGTTTGGTGAACAGAGGTCTAATGAGAATAACTGTAAAACACCTGTGTGTGAGCAGAGCCTTTAAAAGTATCTGTGTTGGTATCAGGACATTAGCCCCGAATATTGATCAAAGAATATATAATGGAGGATATCCAGTAATATTTCAATTGATAGTTATGTGGTCACTTTTGTTTTCAGAGTTGTGATGAAGGTGTCATTAAAATGTTTCATTAAGGTTGCTGTTCTCTGTGGTTACGTTCACACTGCAGGCACAAGTGACCGATACATGAATCATATGTGAATCATAACAGCGTGAACCGTTTACATGTAATCTGATCTTTTAACATGTTCACACCTGTTTCAATTCAGATACAGATCAGATTTTCTTTCCATTGTAACCTCCGTGTGAACAGTCCTATCAGAAGTCATGTGAATTTTAGGTCACTATAGATGAACATTTGTCATGTGGGTCACTTCAGGACCGAGACCTGTTCACACTGGAATCTGATATGAGCCACATTTAAAAAACAACGTGAACACACAAACAAAACAAAACAGATCTGAGCAACAAATGAGAAGTGAGCACTAAGGTTTGCAGTGTGAATGTAACCTTTGAGTTAACTAATATATATATATATATATATATACTGTCAATGGCTGTAACTGGCAAGAAAACTCTGCTTTCGACCACGCCCCCAATCTGTGATGTCACTACAGGTGTCTTGAGACCTGTGGTGACATCACCAGCAGGGTGAAACGTGTTGAGGGAGCAGCGTGTGGTTTACTGATTGTTTTACCTTTAATTGAGCAGATCACACAGCTGTTTGAAAGCTGATGGAAAGCAAACAGCTGTGAAGATAAGACAACAATCAAATGAGTCACTCCTGGATGACAGATTATTTCTGGGTGTAACCAGTGAACAGTAACGTTATCACACAGGAGGATTACTCAGTAACTAAAGCCATCACAGTTATTGAGTTAGCTTAAATGGTGTAAACTGTTCCGACTCTTCACTGACTTCAGTTTCAGTTCATGCTGAGGCTCAACACAGACAGAAAGACTGCAAATCACAGATGATTATGAACAATAACACCGCCGGTGCTTTGTAGCGTGTGACATTATTACAGCAGCCTGAACAATAATAAATATGTGTTAAATCTGGAGCCAAACGCTGTAGTTTGATCTTACCTTCCTAGATGGACGCGTATGCAGAAGAGTGTAGTTTCTTCCTCTTTATTTGACAGACGGTAGAAAAGTGTTCATTATCACCACCCAGTGACCGACAGTCTGAACTGCAGGTTGAATATGTCACATCATCAGAAACACTGACAGCAGAGGACAATGTTAATTACTGTGTATATTTAAAACCACTGTGTATGTGAGCTGGTGCATTCAATGTGTATTGTTAAGTGTCAGGATACTGCATAAAGATTATGTCCTCTGTGGGTGAACAACAGGGTTAACATGGGAAAACAAACACGGGCTTTTATTGTGGTAATGTCCCTAGAATCAACGACAACTTCCGGTCATAATCAAAACAAAAACACTGGACCATGCGTTGAAAGTTAAAGTTAAAAACAACAAAGAAAGTAGAAAATAAATAAATAAAATGTAAGAATTATTATTTTTTTCCAAATAAAGTATATATTCATATAAATGATACATATATTCACCTTCATAATGATGTGTTGTCTGCTCTGTTAAGTATTATATTTAGTTACACAGCAGTGGCAGGACGTGGCTCACTGTATGAGCCGTAAAATACCCGAGTAGTCTACAAACTGCTGCTTTATTTTGAAGGGGCATGCTCCAGCCTTCCGGTTGTACCCGTCAGCTTTACTGTGTTTATGCAACGGCCCCACATACAGCCACTGTTATGAAACTGAGTGCTGCTGGTATGTCACCTTTCTTTGTTAAAGTCCTGGCTCTATACTTGTTCAGATATCTGGAGCATGTTGTCCTTCATCTTTTGCACAACAGCGCAGGTTGACGTCAGATAATTGTTACCAGGCAGAGAGCAGAGAGACGAACCCCGGTTAGCTTCAGTTAGCAGAACAAAGTGTTCCTGTTGGAAACTCAGCGCGATTCATATGGAAACACAACATTAAAGCAGTCGTGTTTAACTCAGATTAAGCTCTATAATAACAACTTTTTTTGCACAGGGTCCCACGACCCCAGGGACAAAGCTGCACGGTGTCACAGTGACTGAATGGATCAGAGAGGATCAGCTGGTTGTGTTTCAGTCCTCCCTTTACAGGTATTCGGCTCACCTCTTCCCTGTTGTTGTCCTCACTCAGGTCACATGTGAACCGATGAGGGGGCAGCTGCTGACAGCATCATTTTCAATGGAAACACACTGAAAGGTAAAGAAAGGAAAACTGTCTAGTAGCAACGTTGACCTCTTTAACAGTGTTTCTGTCATTATTTTAATCTCTGTTATCGATATCTAAATATGTGTGTTGACTCGGTGATTATACAGGATCTTTGAATAACATGAAGACAATAGGTTATAATATAGATATATTATAGGCACATATATTGTCAGGTTTTACATTTATTTCTTGATTTGTGGGCTTTGCCTGCAGCCATTTCTGTGTTTTTGTTTTGTTTCTATTAACCAAAAGTATTTAAACAGATGTTCATACTGAGTCTGCCCAGTTGGTCATTAATATTTTAGTTTCAAATGACTTCCTGCATCTCCTGGAATTTCTTTTTTGTATCATTGCTGATGTTAACATCTGTCATCTCTGCACAGGTCCTCATAAATTGCCCATCATGCAGTTGGAGGCTCAGCTGCGTCTATGTCAGAGTTGTCTTTGGTGCTGCAGGAGCGGACTGCGCCTGTTCTCCCAAAGCTACGCACACAGGTAGACTTTGTATGTATACATGTATATGTGTGTGTGTGTGTGTGTTGACTGAACACAACTAAGAGACTGTGTTTATGTACTTTATGAACAGGTCTGAATGCCTGTTTGGTTTTGAGTTCTTTGCTTTCTCGCCACAGAAAAGCTGTGAACTACTACGATCTCCTGGGAGTTAAATCTGATGCGAGCCTGGAGGAAATTAAAAATGCATTTTTCGACAAATCGAAGAAGGTAGGACCCTCAATAGTTAACAAGCTGTGCATTTAAGAAAACAACATCTGACCACATGAGGGCAGCCTTTCACTACTGAGTTTTTACTTTTTAACGGTTCCCACAGTGGGCTTCCTGATTGTTTGTTTTCATGTTGTGGCTCTCTGTGTAAATAAGGATGTGCATGTGTATTTACCTTGTGGTTTTGGCATAGAGGTGATACAACTCACCCTTAAAGGAAAAAGCATTGTTGTGATTGCAGCCCATTCATATGTGTTTAACACAGAAAGTAATATTTTGTGTGTTAGTGCAACATGTCCAGATAAACACATGCCTGCACCAGAATATCTATTGGTTCATCGGTTGGTTTGGTCTGTACGCTTCATTATTGTCACCGACCCACTCCTCGTCATGCAGCTGCACCCAGACAGCGACCCATCCAACCCAGCGCTGCACAGCCAGTTTGTGGAGCTGAACGAGGCCTACCGAGTGCTGAGCAGGAACCTGAGCAGGAAGGAGTACGACTTCAAAATCAGACATCCATACAGCGGCAGCGAGGCATTCAGGTCTGCCTCCAGTCACACCAGCTACAGAGCCAGGTGAACATACACACAATCTGTTTATGCTTATTCTGCTTACGTAGCCTGACCTTACTCCACGTCCTTTAAAACTGTTAACGCTGCGAAAAAAATTCAATTGGTTGACGTTCTTGTGCAGCAAGAAGACTGTGGCCTTGCTGTTCTTGTGAAGGAAGTGAAACCTGAGAGGGTCGTTGTTGTTAGTTCATAACCACTAAGAAAAACAGATTTTGTATAGGGGCAAGTATACATTGACTTTGGGCAAAAGGGGCCCACAAAATGTTTTATTTTTTAACATTTGTACGATCGTCCCACCTCTCTATTTTTGAATCACGATCTTTCTTAAACTACTTTACCATCAGTACGGACTCCCAGGAGAGCTCGCGTTACTGGGAGCAGTTTCGTCAGTCTAGCGCACACGAGATGTCAGCGGAGGAGTGGCAGAAGAAGAGGAGGAGGAACTTCCGCCTGATGAGCTACTGCCTCATCACCATGGTGCTCAGTGTCGGAGCCCACGTAATCTTCTTCAGGTATAAAACCAGCTCTTTTTCTGTTTGTTCTTGATATTTTAACTTTGCCACACACGACTTCCCACAGCAGCCATCTTGTTTCCTGGACTCTTTGCTGCACGTTCACATCCAGATGAATGGGACAGTTTGTGGACATGTGTCTTGGCACAACCTCATGTCTCGTGTCCTTGTATTTGTTTTCACACACCGACTCTGTGCCACTTGTGTTTGTGGAGATTCACTTGATGATCTGAAGAGCTGTTGTAACAGCTGTGCAAACTCATAAATACAAACTGAGCCCGCTGAGCAACACGTTTTTGGGTTAAGCAAAGTTATTCTGTGATTCAAGTGTTACTCCAACTCTTTCAGGAAACTGGAAGAAGTTCACAATAACTTCATGGACGAGAAAGATCGAGTCATCACAGAAATTTACAATCAGTCCAAAGAGCGGGCGAGGTGAGTGTTTTTGCATCTTCTTCCGTTTGATGGCACATTAAGCTGCTAACAGTCAATTTATTTTATTTTTTTGGGCCGAAGACAGACAGGAAAGGGGGGCAGAGAGAGGGGGGTGACACGCAGCAAACCCTGGGCCGCTGCAGCAACTCTGTA